TTACTGTTTTTCTTCGCCCTAATTTTTTCCCAACAAGTGGTATCAGAGCCTGGTTCGAGGGGAAGAAAATTTTCTTCGGCGGCGCAAGAAGAAATTTGGTGGCGAGGTTTTACGAATCAGAGCTAAGGTTCTCGGACTCCGCGATCTCTGTGGAGAGGGAGTTTGGGGCAGTTCCGATTTGCCGGAGATTTGCCGGAGAGGAGTTCGTGCGGAAGGGAACCGGGCAGCGCTTGAGGCAAAGTTGTTCGCAGACGTAGCTGAGAGAAGTTGTTCGTCGCCTGGGCGGACGGTTCGAGAGTCGTTGTTCGCGGAGGACATCGCGATTCTCGACAGGAATCGCAGGCGTTCGCGGTTAGAGAAGTTCGCGTGCATTATTTCCTCTTCTGCAGCAAAGGCGGAGGCTTCTTCGCGGCAGGCAGAAGGTTCGCGACACGGGAAGTTCGCGAATCGGCGAATCACGGATAAAGGGCTGTCGCAGAGCCAAATTCGCCGGCGACGACAAGTGGACGCAGGAATACGGAGAAAGAAACGAAATTGGAAGGGAAGGAGAATCTTGGATTTTCCATTTTTTTCGTGGGTTCCGATTTTTGGGAAAGGCAAATATTGCTGGAGGAGAAAGAAAAGTTACAATTTTTCTTTTCTTTTGCCTTGCCGCGGAAAGGAAGGAAAAATCAAAGCAATATTTGAGAATATTCTCGTCAAAACACGGAAAATTAATTTCCTTTGCTGCTAGGAAATTAATTATTTGGAGAATATTCTGGGCAAAGTAAAGTTATTGATTTCAACTTAATTAAAGAAAAATTTATCTTAATTAAGTTGATTTAAAGAAAATATTTAATTAAGGAAACTTAATTAAAAATTTCTCTTTGCTGATGTTCGGATTTGGAAGGGAAACTTTCAAATTTTCTTGGAGGAAGGAAATATTTTAATGTTTAATTTTATTTGAATTTTTGCAGAGGAATTTTTTGCAGAAAAATTTTGTTACAGGTTTATTTTTTAGATGACATTTTCTGGTGTGAAATTTGAGGTGGTGAAGTTCGACGGAACTAATAATTTCGGATTGTGGCAAATCAGGGTAAAAGATCTGTTGGCGCAACAGGG